GTGTCACGTCATTTCCGGTTCAACAATGGCGTCTATTCAATGCTACATTGCATTGTGCTTCGTAGCCATGACCCTGAATGACACCGACGTTTATGGATTAGTGTTTGGTGTAATTTAAAAACGACAAAAATATATTTGACACAACTTTCAGTCGCACATCTTAGTCGGGGACTTTTAAATGAGCAGAAATGTATCTCCTTCAATAATACAATTCTTATCGGCTTCTCCTCGGAGATTTTAAATCTCTTTTACCAGAAATCTTTTACTTTATGCAAACAAAGTAAAATTTAAAAAAAAATTAACTGCTAAAAATAATAATAATAACTTTACTCCATTACCATTCGATCAAAAGTCCATATCCATATCACACATATCTCACATCTCTCATATCTCACATATCTCATATCTCACATATCTCATATCTCACATATCTCACATATCTCATATCTCACATATCTCATATCTCACATATCTCATATCTCACACACGGCCGTCTAATTCCAAACTAGGCAGAGCCTGTGCTATATATTTCTTAATACCCAGACACAGAACAAATTACCTTATCACACAATATTTGTCCTGGGTTTGAATCGAATCCACGACTCCGATTAAGCAGTCAGGGTCACTAACCACTAGACCAAAAGGCCTGGCTATCCAACGTACTAATATTATAAATAAGAAAGTGTATCTGTCTGTCTGTTACCTAAACAACAGAATTAGCGGAATTAGCTTCTTGGTTTGCAAAATTCCTGAATATTTTTTTAAATTTTTAAAATTATAACAACATTTTTATTGCATTCACGAATTGATTGCAATAAAAATTTTAACAACATATTGTCAGCTAAAGTGCCAAAAACCGTAAAAAATAGTAAAAGCCAGTTTTTCGCATCTGAAGCGAAAACTAAAGCTCCGATAAAAAAAAAGTTGAATGTAACAAATATGTGGAAAAAAAAACAAGGAGAATGCACACTGCATGCAAACTGTCAATTTTGCTTTCCCCCGGAAAGCAAAATTGACAGTTTGCATGCAGTGTTCTATTTCTATCCCATTCCCTAGTTCTATCCCATAAATTTTATATTTATAAATAAATATATATTTAAGGGGTGAAAAGGGGGGTGGAATTTAGTATAGGGCATTAATAACCGCTTAATCGATTTAGATGAAATTTAGTATAGAGATAACTTTCTTTTCTTGAGGAAGGACATAGGCTTTTTACCACGATAATCGACAAACACGCGGGCGGAGCCGCAGACAAAGGCCAGTACATTAATGTAACCAAAGCTACATGCAAAAAAGTAAATAATTTACTGGCCGTTGCAATAACACCTGCCTCAATCATCATCATCAGCCTATCGCAGTCCACTGCTGGACATAGGCCTCTCCAATTGCACGCCACTTTGATTGATTTTGCAGAAAAATAAATATTTTTTCAGAATATCCATTGAAATATTTCTTACAAAGGGCGATCTCCACTCAAAAATTATAACCGAGATTTTAATTCGCAGTCTAGTAGTATTCTGGCAGTATAATTTATCTTTTAACTTGCCTCCTATACGCGTGACGTTCTCTGTCACGCAAGACTGCACGGAACTCATACTCACGGATACACTGATCTCATTATATTATATTAGATTCCATATATTTAACTACATGTGCATTAAATTTATACTCTTTCATGTATACATAAAGTGAATATATTCATTTGTTTTTTATTTATCTATATATATATCGGTTGTAAGGGACATCGTAACGAATACTGAAATAGTGTATTCAGACCATGATTCTAAGTCGAAAATCTTTGAAATTTTCTTCCGGAAAATTAAACTTTTTATGCAATCAGCTGTCAAAGGTTAAGGTCATTTCCCGTAGGTATCGCACAAAAGTAATAACTACATGTGTATTCCGTGCAAACAGTCTACGCACACTAACACAAGTTAGCGGCCGGAGGGGAGGCCCCGCGCGCTTCGTCTTTTTGATTAATTACATTGCAGTTTTTGACCGTATGCGGTATTTATTAATAAAAAAATCGGTAAAATGTTCTGTTTACTCATTGTATTAACATTTTTAACAAAAAAAATGGAAGATTATAAAAAAATGTTAAAGTTTATAAAAAAGGTTATAAAAAAAAGTTTTCCGGCCGAAAATTCCAATGATTTTCGACTCAGAATCGTGGCCAAAATACACCATTTCAGTATTCGTTACGATGTCCCTTACACCCTGTATCTATAAAAAAAGGTTACGTTGCTATGGGTACGCTTCAAAACACTAAAAAAGATCTGCACCCGCTTCAAAAATTGTTTTGAAATTTATTTTTGATCGAAGTGTCTGTTTCTTATGTCAAAATATATTTTTCGTGCTCCCATGGTTATTTTCACCGTACCTAAAAAGTTTAAATTTTGTCGGTCTGTCTGTATATATACCCGGAATAACCGGGTAATCTTCTAAACCCTTATGCCGAACGAAGTCTCAGTAGCTAATGAATCGCAGCCATGATTAATGATCTTCTTTACACTGAAAAATTGTGTACAACGTACGCTTGTACACAAGTTTTAATTATAAAACAATTGTCGTGTCCTTGCTCTTAATACAATTGACTTTAATTTTAAATTGTCTGAAAAAAATGTGTGACTGGTCTCCACTTGGCGCGTGTCTTAAGTGGAAGAGTGTGCCATAAGACATAAAAATCGGTTTCAAAAACCATTATAGTTTCCTTTTTTAATTCGTGCCAAAAGCTGTTTATCGTTTGTTGGTTTTCTGTTTCTGTAAACTGTTTTTATCGTCTTTACGTTAGCGTTCGTCTATTTCTCTCAAAAGGAATACATTTTCCAGGTTTTTGTAACATTTTTCATTGATGCTCGACGCCTATTGGTCGTAGCGTGATGGTAAAAAAGCCTATAGCCTTCTTTGATAAATGGCTTATCCGACTCTCCAAAAGAATTTTTCTATTCGAAAGTGCGAACCAGTAGGTAGTTAGTGTCTAAGATTAACAAGTTCAACAAACAAACTGTTCAGTTTTTATATTAGTATAGATATATAGATATTAATTATATTTACAGTAGTGTCTGCAATCAATCCAGGGACATAAAGGGCACAGGGCGAAGAAGCTACTGTTTCCGTCTCAGTCCAACTACTAGTCTCTGCCACTATTCCAGTCTTAGTCCCGATTCTGAACGGGACTTTCGACATCAATTACCCAAGTTACGGACAGTGATTTTAAAAACGCTATAACAATCCAGTGCCCGCCAATCCCCGCTAAGATCTCTCATTAGTCCGTATACTTGTTGCCATCCTCATTAGTAAGAAAAAATATTCAACAGTTACAATAAAAAATAAATAAAAAAATATTTATTGTTTTAACATGAATGTAGGTAGCTATAAAAAAATATAAATCTCCGAAATATGGTGACGAAATGTACGCAAGATGTTTTGCTAGAATACGTGAGTGTACACAATGACTGGACTTATCGGCTAGAACCAGAAGGGAATACGTACACCAGGAAAAATATAACACTACCAATACAAAGGAAACATAACGCCTTAAATATACATACAAATGAAATTCTTCCACAATGAATAGTACAGTAAATACGTTGCAAAATGTATGTCCAAAAATAGTCTTGATCTAGTAAGTACTATTGTGTGTAAGTCGGTGTACACGCTTGATTAGGAAACTTGAACGCATTCCTTATGCTGTAGTGGGAAATATATAAATTAAATTCCTTTAGAATATTCTTTATTGTGCACCATATAACATGACGTATACATAAAATGTATTTACACACACAGAGAGAGCACACACTCACTGAAGTAATAATAAAAGCAATCATAAACATGTAAATATTTTGCAAATTGACATAACATTATTAATTTGAAAACATTTAAGAAAAATTAGACACTACTGCGCTCTTAAATCTCATTCGTTACTCTACGGAGTTAATTTTGACGGATTGTCAACATAAGTTACGAGAAAGCGACGTGACTACGTCATTACATCGCCTCCGTCACATTCATTCATTAGTCGTGGTTTGTTTCCCAGAGTGAGTCTTAAGAAATGCCGGCACCTACTAGCTGTAAAGCCCGACTTGTAAAAATTTCTCAAAAGATTTACTTTACAGTAATAAATATAATTAATCATCATCATTTAGACGTACGCTAAGACTAGGTCAATGTTTTCTCTCCTTAGTGTTGTGTCGCCAATCCTGTTGAAGACTTGTCCATCTTCCTTAGTGCGATGTCGCCACTCACTGATCGCCTTGCACTAGTAAAGAAAATAAGATCTAGAAGTATCTTATTTTCTTTATTAGTAACTAGATTTTGTCAATAGTTTCGCTCGTATTAATGCCGATTTTGCAACTAATTTTTTTTCGGGATAAAGAATAGCCTATGTGCAATTCCAGGCTGTAATCTTTACATGTGCCAAAATTTCATCCTCCTTCAGTCGTTCTGATGTGATTGGGTAGTAAACATAAATCAAAGGTTTCACATAAGATTATATAGTTAAGTAAAACTAAAAGATACGCTTAAGCGTATCTTTTAGTTTTATTATGGCGAATCGACTTAAAAAGTAAGAAAGAATTCCACTATCAACCTCTTGTCCAGTTTGTTTTACTCGACAAGGAGGACTCAGAAGGCAGGCAAAAAAGAGCAGATTGTCTCACGTCAAAAATGCACTGGTCATTAACAACGTAAATTTAGCCACAATTAATTCTCAAAATCTTGTCGTAAATATAAAATACTTGGCATTTAACAATTTAATGCGCGGCCTGTGCAAAACATATCTTGGAAATTTTAAGTTATGTGAAAGAAGATGATGTGTGAAGGAGAAGATAGGTAACACAGCCAATGTTACGGGCCTCGATGGTAGTATGCTCTACGTTTTAAGTTCGTTCTAAATAATAAAACGTATAAGGAAACATTTTTGTTTTTGCAGTTTAGCTTCTTGCATTTTAATTAGTTGCCGTCACAAGGAGTCTTAAAAAATATTCCTTTCATTTTTGCAGGAGACAGCTTAGAAGAATTGAACGGCTATGGCACAATACGACCCCGAAACTTAATTTCGTCCATACTGAGTGGCACACCGGCCAAGAACAAAGGGCTCGCCATCTCTAACCCGCATGATTTTAGAATGGTAAGTGGTTTAAAGTGTGATTAAGGTACATATTGCATTATACTCGTATCAGTGATGCAGTGGTAGTGTATGCGACTGCTGTGCTAAGGTCTCGGGTTCGATTGCCGGATTAAATGTTTGTATGATCTGGAAATATTTGTTTCTTAGTTTGGGTGTTTTCTATGTATCAAATGTATGTATTTATGAAAAAAAAGTAAATAAGTATTCTATCAGTCTATCTAGCTTTCATAGTACAAGCTCTGCTTAGTTTGAAACTAGTTGGCGTTGTGTGGCTTTCTTCGTGTAAAAGTTATTTTTGTTCCCTCGGGAATGCTGCTGAATTTTTTTATTATATAGATGGGCAAACGAACAGGCGGGTCACCTTTTTTTTTTTTTTTTTTTTTTTTTTTTTCCGTGCGGAAATCCCCTCGGATACCACCTCTCGGTGGCATGTCGGACACGAACCGACTAAAACCGCACGCCTTCGCCGGGTACTAATAGCCGGGGAACCAGGTATACCCTAGAAAGGAAGGCCCTGGTGCCCCGACATACCTCGGGTCATCTACAGACGAGTAGACGACCCCCGCCCCGTGTGGGAACCCCATGTTCCCTGTGCTCCCTGGAAGCGAGCGCGCTTCGCAACGCGCTCGCCGCCACCCCGGCCTGCTTCTGCTAGGGTGACAGATGGCCTCACCTGTCACCCCCAGGCCTGCGCTTATGGAGGACGAAGGTCGTTCTGCGACCTCCGGCGCCTGAGTCGCCTGCGCTGCCTGGCCCGTGCCCGGGCCTGGCGGGCCGGGAGAGTTCTAAACCTCTCCCGGTCCCGCTCCGCCGTCTCCTTCGCGAGCATAACTTGCTCGCAGAAGGAGACGGCAGAGTTCCACGCACTCTCGCTCCGCACGATAGCCGCAATCAGGCTATCGAGCGAGAGAACTCCCACTCCGATGGCCGCCACGAGGTCTCGCCTCTGCTCAACCCACGCCGGGCGCTCTGCCAGCGTGTGGAGAGCCGTGTCCACGGTCTGGCCATCGCAGTGGTGGCACTCAGGCGTTGGCTCCTTGCGGATCAGACACAGGTGATCTCCGAAACATCCCTTCCCAGTGATCACCTGCGTCAATCGGTATGAGAGGGTCCCGTGACGCCTCTCGAGCCAATCCTCCATAACGGGTCTTACCGCCGCAATGACGGCGTGCCCGGCGCTCGGTTGCCCGAGTCGTTCCCTCCACTCCCCTATGATGACCTGGCGGAGTTGGGATTTCCGGTCATCGATTTCTCGAATCTCGGGGTATCGACCCAACTCCTGCGCCTCCTTGCGCCACTGATACAGTGCTGCAAGGGCTCTCGCCTCCAGGTCCCACGGTGGAGTTCCGGCCAGGAGACTCGCCGCCTCGAAGGAGATCGTGCGGTACCCCCTTATGATCCTGATGGCCAGCATTCGCTGCGGTCGCCGCAGTATCGCGACGTTGCTGGCCTTCAGGGCCCCCGCCCATACTGGGCACCCGTAAAGGGTCATGGACCTCACAACCCACGAGTAGAGTCTCCGGCAGGAGTCATCGGGTCCCTTCATGTTGGGCAGCAGCCGCGCCAACGCACGCGCTGCCCCAACCAACTTGGGGACCAGACCTCGGAAGTGATATCCGAAGTCCCATCGGCCATCGAGTACGAGCCCCAGATACCTGATCGAGGGCTCGATGCCGATGCGAGTGCCTCCTACCGTGAGGCTAGATCCCTCAGGCGGCTTCCTCCGAAGCCCGTGGAAGAACAGGGCCTCGGACTTGTGCAGAGCCACCTCGAGACCCAGCCGCCGGATACGCTCAACGACTTGGGCAACCCCGGCCGTGGCCCTCAGGGTTGCCTCGTGGTGCGTCTTGCCGCGCGCCGTCACGAGTGTGTCGTCCGCGTAGCACACGACGGCGACACCATCCAAGAAGGTACCACGAAGCACCCAGTCTTATCCGATGTTCCACAAGAGTGGCCCTAACACCGACCCCTGCGGAACACCGCACGACATTTCACGCCTACCGAGACCGGTCCTACTGGGGTAGACGACGGCTCTCTCCGACAAATATGCCCCGACTATGCGGCGGAGGTAGAGAGGCACTTCGTGATACACGAGCGCCTCCCTGATGCAGCTCCAGGGCATAGTGTTGAACGCGTTGGCGATGTCCAAGGACACCGCCAACACCACTTCACCCCGGGAGACTGCTTAATCCGCCAGAGCCTTCACGCGCATGATCGCATCCACGGTGGAGCGCCCCTGACGGAAACCGTACTGGTTGTCCGCCAGATCCGGCCCAACCATCACGAGATGCTTGACGAGGCGCCTTGCAATCACTCTTTCAAAGAGCTTGCACACCTCGTCAAGCAACACTATGGGCCGGTAGGCGGACGGTGAGTCCGCCGGGCGCCCCTCCTTTCGGATGAGGACCAGTTTCCCCGTCCTCCACAATTTCGGAAACTGGCCCCGCTCGAGGCATGCGCTGAAGAACCCTCGCAGTCGGGGCTCGAGAGCCTCGTCGACTAAGGCCAGGACCCACGCTCGGCCAGGAATGCCATCGGGTCCCGGGGCGGTGTTTTTGGCTTTAAGCCGTAACACCGCCACCCTTAGTTCCACCCCAGTGACCTCAGGCACGTCGTCGTCATCCACGTTAGGCGCCTCAAGCGCCGGAGGCGGAGCCATCTGTGGCGGAGTATGCTCCACCACTCGCGTTGGGAACAGGGAGCCAACGACCCTCTCAAGCAGCTCTGGCTGAAGACACCGTGTGAGCGGCGGGGCCCATGGGCGCATCTTGCCCCTAACCATACGGTAGGGGCGTCCCCACGGATCCCGCTCCAGTGTCTCCAGCATCTCGCGGCGGGCCTCGCTCTTGGCCCGCTTTATCGCTGCCTGAAGGGTCCTCTTGGCTACCCTGTAACCCGCTAACAGCTCCGCCTCTCTCGCTGCCGCATCTTCGGGGCGGCGACGCCTCCTGCGGAACCTGGACCACTGGCGGCGCGCGGTCACGCAGGCTTGACGCAGCCGTGCGATCTCCGGCGACCACCAGTAGACCTGGCGCCTCGCAGTATTGGGCTGAGCCCTAGGCATCGCCGCATCGCAGACGCGGGTCATGGCCTCCCGGAACCACTGTGCCTCATCATCGACGTCGACAGGCCTGTCCGGCGCAGGAGCCCAGGCCTGTACGATGGCGGCTTCCAGGAGGAGGTCGCGATCTAAGCGCTTGAGCGCCCAACGTGGTTCAGGTGGTGCCGGTCTGACCGGCGCGCCATCTGTAGGGGCGGAGACGTCAAACCGAATATATCGGTGATCCGAACCTGTCTCCTCCCCGACAACGACGCGCCAGCCTTGGACACGACGCGCTAGCGAGGGGCATGCGAACGAGATGTCCACAATCGAACTACCCCTCGCCGTCACGAACGTGGCCACGGCCCCCCGGTTTAGGAGAACTAGGCCGAATCTTTCAGCCCAGTTCTCCAATGCCCTGCCCCTCGGGTTCGTGCGCAGGGAACCCCAAGCCTGCGACCAGGCGTTGAAGTCCCCCAGCACAAGAACCGGGTGGGGGCGACAGGCATCGACGACGACGGCCAGCTGAGCGAGCCATTGCTCGAACTCAGTTAGGTTTCGGTTCGGCGTGAAATAAGCGGCCACGACCGCTATATCTCCAACTATCGCCGCTACGCAGCCCCGTCCCCTTGCAACTACTGCAAGAGGTGGAGTGCCGGCTGCGGTACCGTGCACCAGGGCCGCCGTGCCGTCCAAGTCGGTCTCCCAGGCAGGCCCGAGAAACCGATGGACATATGGCTCGGCGATAGCGGCGATGTTGATGGACCACTGTGCCATGCTCTGGAGCAGAAGATCCTGAGCATCGGCACCGTGGCCTACGTTCACCTGGAGGATGCGGAGATGTGGATCCATCACTGGACTTCCATCCCCGCATCCCGCAGCGAACTTTGCGGCTGTCCAGCGGCACTCTCCGTCTGGATCAGCGGCTCGGAGGCGGAAGGTCGGCCTCCCGGCTTCGGTCGCGATAGGGCACAGGCCTTACCACCAACCCGGTGGTCGGCAGGCTTGCCCCCCGCTGCGCACCTAAAGCAACGCAGCGGAGCGTTGCAGCCACCCGCCTTGTGACCGGGCTGGCCACAGCGGAAGCATCGGTCACCTACGGTGGCCTCCGCCGTGCAGTGCACCCCTACGTGACCCACCGACAGGCACCTGAAGCACCTTGCCGGTCGGGCCTGCAGGAGTCGTGCCTGCGCCCTCAGGAAACCTCCGACCAGGAGGCTCCGTCCATCGGCGACCTTCTGGGCCGCCGCGATGGGGCAGCTGACAACCGCTGCCCCCTGTCCACCGGGGCCGAAGCGTATTGCTCCGGCCTTCACGCTGTCCAGAGGGCAGCTTCCCGTCTCCGCCACGGCGAGTCTGAGCTCGTCCGCCGTGACAGAGTCGTCCAGGCCCGTGATGCGGATTTCGGCGCATTTAGTGGGCCTGGACACTCGGACGTCAGCTGCATCCAGTGACTCCCTCAGCTTAGCCGCTAGGGCATCGGCTTTGGGGCCACTGGTAGCGCCGGCTACCTCGAGGAGCCGGGCTCCCGTCCGTGTGTTTTTACACCGGACGCCCGGAATCTCGAGGGCTTTGAGGTCCACGTTGGCCTTGACTTTCGTCAAGACCTCGGCGTACCCCACGCCCCTCTCCGCTGCCTCCGCCGTCAAAGTGATTACGACGGCCGAGGAGCGAGGGGCGCGGAGCTTCCTCGGCGCTCCCTTCGCGGCGGCGGCGGCGTCCCTCCTCGCCTTCTTGGCCGCTTTTTTGGCGGCCTTCCGCCTCTTTTTGCTGTCCCCGGCCACCGTCCAGCCCCGCTCCAACGGGCGCTGTGCTGTGTCAGCCGGGGCCGAGACTGGGGCTTGAGTTGGGGCCGCCTTCCCCCTCCCTTTGCCCTTTCCGGCCTTCTGGGGCGGGGGCGCTGATGACGGCCCAGCCACCCTAGCTGCTGGCTGGGCTGTTAGGCCCGCCTTGGCAGCGGCCGCATATGTCGCCTTTGGCGGAGCCAGAGGTGGGCGACAACGGGCGCTCTCTACAGCGGAGATGCGCCTCATTATCCGCTCCTCCATCTCCGCCATGAGTCGGACTAAGCTCGGCTCCGGCTCCGGCTCCGGGGCGGACAGCGCCAACGGTGCCGAAGGCGCTGGTGTGGCACTAGCGTGGGCACGAGCCTGTGCGAGATCCGCCTCGAGGCGGGCTCTCTCCCTAGCGTGGGCCTTGCTCTCGGCCACGAGGAGTCTGCCCGCCTCAATTATGGAGCGCACGACCGCTACCAGGGCCTCCTGTTGGGGGCCCCCGGCCAACCCGGACGTCCGAAGCAAGCAATCGGCCTCGCCGATTGCCTCCTCGATCCGGTCGACGGGGTTGCCGGTTTTGCCTCGCAGCTCAACGAGGCCAGCACCCCCACCCCCGCTCCCCACATCAGTGGTCGACATCTCGGACGCGACCCCCTCCTGTTGTCTCCGTCCAAGACCCCCATCTTCGGCTCCTCCCAGAGCCGCGGACTGGACCGTCACCTTCTTTCGGGCCACCATGGCCTTGGGGAGTCGGCCTCCGCCGCGAGCGCCTCTGCGGCTTGTGCCGACTTTGGGAGCCGAGGCCTCATCGCTCGAGGCCGACTCCAATTGCCTCTTCAGGCCCAGGCGAAGCGAGCGCCTTTTGCGCTTTGGAGTACCCTTCTGGTGCTGCTCTGCAGCTGAGACCATCGGGGTACTCGCTCCGCTCCTCTCCGAGGCAGTGTCGGTGTTCGACACTACCTCCAGGTTTTTCGCGTCCTCCGCGATAACGTCGCCGGATTTACTGCTCGGCGACGGGCAGGTTCGACATTTGGTGCTCCCCCCAGAATACGAGTGGGAGCTGCCGGAGCCGTTTGGCTCCGGGAGGGATTCCCCAGACACTGTGTGTCCGGGACCCTCCTGGGTAGATTTAATAATCCTTGGCCTCATGTCATGTTTGTTAGTTTAACGTCCTTCGACGGGGACGCCTTCGGCACTGGACTCCCTCCAGCGACTCAGCCCCTTGCCAGGCGTCAGAACGTGGGCTTAGAGCATTTTTTATAGAGGTTTACGTCCTCGCGGATCCGAAGATCCACCGGTCCTGTCCATTCAGGATTACGGCTGGGCCGGACGGGGTCTGCACCAGACCGGGTCCGTCCGCCCCAGGGTTTTTTATAGAGGTTGCCTTCCTCGTAGCCCTCGAAGAGCCGTCATTCCTGACTGTTGCCAGTCAGGGTTACGACATGGCCGGACGGTGGTCTGCGTCAGACCAGTGTCCACCACCTCTGGACAGAGCCAGCGGCAGTGGACCCGTCCGCCCCCAGCCCGCTCTCCCCTATGCCCTCTGCCAAACAGAGGGACATGCGGAAAGCAGCCCTCCGAACAGCCCTTGACGGGCCGTTCCCACCTCGGCCGGAATTGGCCGCAGGCGGCAGCGCCTTTCCCACCTAGGGAGAGAGGCGCTGCCGTCTCCGTTGCCCAGGGTGCACCACAAGGAGGTTCCGGACCACGCACCCCACAGGCGGGTCACCTGAAGGTATAGGTCTACCTTCGCCCATGGACACCTTTTTTTTTTTTTTTTTTTTTTTCGTGCGGAGATCCCCTCGGATACCACCTGTCGGTGGCATGTCGGACTCGAACCGACTAAAACCGCACGCCGTCTCGGGTACTAATAGCCGGGGAACTAGGTATACCCCATGGACACCTAAGGCCCAAGTGTGAGTTTATTTCACATCTACTCGATCGTCACAGTGACCGCGTTCGGGGTTGTGATTGGCCCGTACGGAAATCTCCACCAATCGCAACGCCAAACGCCGTCGAAGCGAGTTGATTTGAAAAAAAAAATGCACTCTGGCCCTCTGTATATCGAGAGTCACAAGTGAGTTGCCGCCCTTTGAATTTCCTCCACCCAGAATCATGGAAAGGGGCGGTAGGTCCGATGAGTGTGATCCTAGTCATAACACAATTATGGCACATAGGCCTATACAAAATAATATAGATAGAGGGGAGAACGTATTCGATTGCATGTGAGTGGAATAGCGACGTCCGTCCGGCGACCACTTCGGGCAAACAGATCAGCGAAGAGGTGCGAAAGAGGCGCATGTAAATCGCCGTCTTCTTTCTCTTTCTACCAACATCCCCAGATCATGGATCGCTTCTCTCCTCTATCTATTTATTATCTCCGTATACATTACCTTATATATTTATGGCAACTTTTATTATTAATAATAAAAATTAATCAAGACAATTTTAAGGCAAATGTCTTACGTCAAATCTCTTAAATATTGATTGGCTTTTGCATTTTTCAGGTGTCGGCAATCATAGATGTGGATATAGTTCCGGAGACCTGCAGGCGAGTGAAGTTACTGAAGCATGGCTCAGACCGACCGCTCGGATTTTTTATAAGGTATAATTATACAATTACGATTATATGGCGGATAGGGCAGGCAGAGGCTTAATTAATTTTAACTTAGCAATTATATTACCGTTAAACTGACACTTTAGAATTAGAATTTATTCTCTAAAGTGTCCCTAAAAGACTTATAAGTAATTCCTAATGGAATTAAAAGACAATAACCTGTGGTAAATCATATAATCACACCTGTGACAAGTTTACAAAAACACTGCGACTTATTATTACGTTAGCGCCAGACTCGCGCAAGGTCTAAATCTAAAAAAACAAGTCTTAATCTTTGACACAAAGAATTTTCATTGATTTTGATGGGATTTATCTTTGTCTATGACCAAATCACAATAACAGGTGAAATCACAATGAGGAAGCCAATCATTTCACATATTAAATATGATTTAGAAGTAGCAATAATTTCCATGCCTACATATACACTTTGCAACCCCTCCGTGCCTCGTAGAAAAGTCCGTGAACAATCTTTCTACAGTACTTCGAAATTGCCTACTTGGTTTGTGGAGGTCTGATTGCAGTCGCTGCGCGTAAAAAAAACGTAGTGGACTTAAAGCCGACCCCAACCTAGTTTGAAAAAAAGACTCGAGGAAGAAGCAAAAAATATTACCCATAGACTTACCAAAGAGCCGTGATGGCATGATTTGCAGTTACACCGTAGTTCGGTGTGTCTTCGTCAGATGGTATTTGAGTTTATTTCTCCCATGTGGAAGCCGCCACATCGTGTAATGTACACATAAAAAACACTCAATTTCTAAACTTCCTTATTGTTTTAAGAGTCGATATCGATTTTGTCTACAGGGATGGCACCTCAGTTCGTGTAACACCGAACGGCGTAGAACGTTCTCCCGGCATTTTCATATCACGATTGGTGCCTGGTGGGTTGGCTGAGTCTACAGGCCTACTCGGAGTCAACGATGAAGTGTTAGAGGTCAACGGCATCGATGTTTCTAATAAAACATTAGATCAGGTACGGCTTCATTCATCTGCATGACTGCACGGATGGCGTAGTGGTTTAAGCGGTCGCCACGCAGCTTTCTATTGCGCCGAGTGTTGTGGGTTCAAACCCCACATGGGATAACACTTTGTGTGATCCACAAATTGTTGTTCTGAGTCTGGGTGTACTTTGTGTCCGTTTCATGTATGTTTGTAAAGTCCCCCGCGACACAGGATTTATTCCTAGTGCGGGAGTTGTCTTTTTAAAAAGAAGAAAGAAGACTAGACCGATTCCTTTGAATGAGTTGAGAGTTTGTTTGTTACGCTGTCCCACCTGTACTTCTGAACATATTATGTTAGTGCCATTTTGAATCCAAGACGTTAAGGGTAATAAAGTATCACCTTACAGCAGCTGTATTCGTCATCCCTTAATGTTTTAGCCTTAGATGTGTGAAGGAACTGGTATCATGTCCCTCCGACCAGGCGAGGTGATCATACCTGGCGGGCCGCGGCCCAACGGTTGATGTTGATTGGCCTGTTGGCTTGTGACCTTGCCTGCTGAGCCAGTGGGTTCGACTCCCACCCAGGACAAACAATTGTGTGATGATCACCATCGTTTGTTCTGTGTCTAGGTGTAGCTTATCTATAATATGTATATATTTAGAAATATATAAGTATGTTTATCAGCAGTCTGGTTAACATAGCACAGGCTTTGCCTAGTTTGGAATTACACGGCCGTGTGTGCGATGTGTGAAGTTATTATTGTCTTATGATTGGACGTAGACACGCAAATATATATATATATATATATATATATATATATATATATATATTCTTCTCTTATAAACTGTAAATATTTAAGTAAATGTGGGGTTGGTTGAATATTTCTAAAAATGTTTATTTATTCCCAATAAAATTGGTTAATCATAATAAACAATGCTGCTATTCAGGTGACAGATATGATGGTAGCAAATTCGTCGAACCTAATCATCACAGTGCGGCCCGCCAACCAGCGCGTGGGCCCGCCGCCGCCCGCCGAGACCGCCTCGCGCAACTCGCAGCCCTCCAGCGAACCCGACGAGGACAGGTCAATATTATACTATATATAGAAATGTCTCTATTTCAATATAACATTGTGAAATACATGACAATGTTACGTTCATCCGTGTGGTGACGGATTAAGAATACAAAGTGTCACCACCCCTATTCATCCCGTGGGTGTCGTAAGAGCCGACTAAGGGAGCAAACTACGCAGGACAACAGGACTGCAAAGAGAAGGAAGGCTTGACACTAAACCTAAACCAACCCGTCTGGCCAGCTTGGTATAGTAGGCCAAAACCTCTTTCTAAGGAGAAGCCTATGTCCAGCAGTGGACTACTAAAGGCTGTAGATGTGATGTGATTATAACATAGGTGACTAATAATATGATGTGATGTGATTATAACATAGGTGACTATAAAATACAGAGAAGTGCCATTGGTGTTGTATGTGTCATATATGACACCTCTCTGAATTTAGACTCAATACAATTAACTGTTACGCTTGATTTTGAAATTACATTTGACGTTGACAACTAAATTCCATGACATATTTCAACTTTTGAAAAAAAAAGTATCCTTAGTACTGTTGATAGTATTGGTAACTCACTATATTAAATACTAATAAATTTATTTGAAGTCCAGATTTACATAATTTGTTTAACAATGATAGCCACACGATTATACATTTGGACAGGTGTAATTATATTAGAATTTTTATAAATCTATAAATCTTATAGTTAAATATATTACGACAAAATAAATAGTATAAATAATGGTTTATTTATCAATTTATTAAACATATATTTTGTACCTATACCACATCATCATAAAACATCATCACAGCAACATCAACAAAATCAACACAACTTTAAAACATTCAACAAACACTGTTTTTTCTTCCACTTGTGAATAAAACTCACACACACGTAAATATTTTTAGTCGTACAATATACGTACATATATTTAATAATCAGTAAAATTATAAAAATATTTTATAATGTCTCATTACAGGTTCGATCAAGATGAACAAGACGAGATCGTAGATCTCACGGCTGTCACATTAGAGGACCAACCGGAGACCTCTTTCCCTCACATCCCCTCGAAGGATGACGGACAAATTCTCCATCTCTAGTACATACTCCAGCGGTACAGGGACGCGAGACTTAAACAAAGTGATAAGTGTGGTGCAAAATTTTAAGTGCGTTTTATGGGGGACTCGCTTGTGATGTGGCAAGATTCTTTGTGAATGCGGGTATGTAACAAACTGTTTTCATTTATTCTTGGAGAATAATTAAGCGGCAATGACTTAGTTGTTAAGGCATCGGACTCGCAATGAAATGGTTGCGAGGTCGATTCCTGAACCACCAATCTGAACCCATCCCTGAAACAAGTATTTAACTAAGCTGATTTTAGTAATGTGTCCATTCGCGTTAAGGACCTCTGACCAATCAGGTGCAAAGCTTTCGTATGAAACGATAATTTCTTGAAACCTGATTGGTTAGGGTGCGTGTTTATCGATGTGTAACTATTTTCTTAACGCCAATTGACTATAGTAATCTTTATCTATTAAATATTATATATTAAATAAAAACAGAATAGAAAAAGATATTATACCAGACATGGTCCGAGAAGATATCACATATACTCCAGATAGTTTTGTTTTCTAAAAAAGATCTGACTTCTATTAAGGCCGGTTCCCTGGCCGACACCAATCCTCTTTGGTAATATAATTTTAATCAAGCCAGAGTCGCATAAGCCCTTTTTAGTTTTGTTTAATTACAACAGGGACATCAATAGGCCTTAGCAAAAAAAAACACAGTTTAAGAAATCTAAAATAAATTAAAGAACTCGGGTCAATCTTGGTTGAACAATAAAAGGATGTTCAAATATGTTGTAAAACAGTCTGTAATTTGAATGTTCAAAAATAGAACACAATTTCAAAACAATCTTGCCACATTACAATCAACCTCCAATCTCGAACTAGTGTACTTACGTGTAAAACATTCCATTATATGCCTTATATATACTGCAATAAGTGTCAAACTACTATGTTTAGACGTCACATTAGACTACGAAAGCAATACATAAGTCTTGGTAATTTATAAGATATGAATTGTAAGATTTACTACGTCGAATCACATAAGAGATCGCATGGGAGAAAATATCATTCTGTTGTCACGTAATTGTATTAAACAGTGGTGAGAATGTTTATTGTCCAATTGCGTTAAGAAAATAGTGACGCATCGACCAATCCCCGCACCCTGACCAATCAGATTCCAAGCTTTCGTAATTTCTTGGAACCTGATTGGTCAAGGGCGGGACTTGATGCGTCACTATTTTCTTAAAGCGAATGGACCGTCATACATTCGGAAGACATACACCATATTTGGGTAGACATTTGTATAATACTTTACAAATACGGAACGTAATTTTTATAATCAAACATTTTGACTAGCCAAGGGCACTAAGTAAGAAATAGGTAATCAATAATAATATTAATTAAGTAGTCATAATGACTATGTCTATAACAAAATATTGATTTTCCCCCATGTGTTTAGACATATATATTAGTAGTATTAAATTCATTCTTGTGCCTAAAATGTATGTATATAAAATATTTAAGAAAAAGCCAATATGTCTCATCATTCCAAATGAAATAATACCGTATGTATTTCCAAAAAAAATTTAGAGTATATAAAACATAAAAAATTAGCTCAATTTTTCATAAAACTCCAATTTCGAACAGTTTTAAATTTGAAAAATAGCTTCATTGTAATTCATTCCACCATTCCTTTAGTACATTCGTAAAAATTATCATTCATTCGTAATAATTAAATTATTTTCTGATAATAGAAATCAATTTGTTAAATATTCATCATCAATGTAATTGTATTAAAAAGTGAATTACTGGCTCCTTAATGTTACTTTAAAGACAATAAAAATTAGTTATAATTAATAAAAGATAAGTGTCAAATCCATCCATTTAATTAAATCATAATTTAGACGATTTACGCAAAACTCTAGCAACATTACTCCTGCAGAAAAATTTTCTGATACATTTTACATTAAACCTTTAAACCAGAAATTAACTCCATATATTTCGACCTAAAAATCAGTGAATTCATTCATTCATTCATTTATAAAAATTAATATCAAACATTTATTACACGTTGTTATTCTCGTTATATATTGTTATGTCAATTTCAATTTGTTATTCTGTCATAATCACCACAGATAACAAATACTATTTCATCCACAGATGAAAGTAGATAACCTATAGATTGTGTGTAAAAAACCTTTTGTTTTTGCTACTCACGGTCCTCGCATGGATGAGTCAATTAAAAAGACTAGAACACCATTTAATCACCTCATTGTCCATTGTCGCGTCTTAATTTCATAAGTGGCCTTAACTTATATTTTTTTTAAACTTTCCTATCTTTAAAAAACTTAAATGTATTTATATTTTTTTAAAGTATTTATATTATGTACTTAAAATAATTATGCATTTTCTACAGACATATTTTTTTTCTATACCACCTGGTTTTTAAAAGGCTAATATTAAAATGGTTCACCTATCAGATCTGTCAAGTTAACGGCCATGTTATATCAGTTGTTTCTGAAATTTAGGTCAATATCACATAACAATTGATTTTAATCAGTAAATTTTGACAGGTCTGTTAACTGATCTGATCAAATCAAACTGCCTAATCATTGTTTTAGCAATTCTATAGATACATGACAATTAACCTAAACCTTTTAGAAACTGAGCGGTCTTATTATTATAGCAAACAGTCTTTTAATAGCCTTAGACATAGTCTAGGGGTTGTTGATTGTAATTGCTGAGTCCAGGACAAAGACTTGTGTCTTATCACACAAGTCAATTGTTTTATCTGGGTGTAATTTATCTAGAATGTATATGTATTTAGAAATATATAAGTATGTGTATCAGCAGTCCGGTTACCATAGGACAGGCTATGCCTGGTCTGGGATCAGACGGCCGTGTGTGAGATGTGTCCAACTATCATTATATGTATGTATTTAACAATATGTATGTATCTTTATCAACAGTTTAATTACCATGATATAAGTTCAGCCTAGTTTGGGATCAAACAACCGCATCAACAAACCAATAACAATCGATTCTTTCAAACAGCCATGTTTAAGTTGTCTCAAGCTATTATTATTATTACTTTGGGAGTTGTTTTAAGGAATAATTAGTTGTAGACATTCTGAAGTTCTTTGTGTCGAACGCATATCTATTTATACTGTTACATAAACTACCTTAAAACATTTAATGTACTCTAGAAAGATGTTTCGAACTACCAGCATAAATAAGGACTGGTTGTAAGAATGATAAATTGCCTTAAATATTTTTTAATATATCAACAATAACATATCAAAAGTATTAAAACATTTTTTAAACACCAAATAGTGAACCATATTTTTTTATTGACTGGCTATGTTAGAACTGCTGTGCCTATATATTCTATTGTTAAAGATGATATATACATGTATTCCAGTCTGTAAAATACACGTGCCTTGAATCTCTGTAGTAACGGATTTAGAACAATACTTTGTTTACGGCCATTTGCAATACATATCAAGGATTTAAATATCACATAACTCCTATTAATTGAATAATTTAAACTTGAAGGTTAAATTTAAAGGTATTTTTCCATAGCGTCGCTAGTCTACTAGCGACCAACAGTACTCTTTGTCTAATTAAATGATACCTTCTTTTTAGTTCTGCTGATAACATATGGGTGATTCTTCGTTCTTTTTACTTCGGGGTCTTGCAACACAAAAATCTTGTTTGATTTAAAAATAAAGTATTATATACACAAAACAATGATGAATGAAGAACTAAAGAGAACAAATATTCACCCATTTATGTAAAAATTCATGATGATCTTTTGAGTAGCTAACGATATGAGAAGGATGGGTTGAAACATGTTCAGCATGGAACAGTTCATTTAATGCTTTATATACACCCACGTCTCTCGTCTCTTATTAATATAATACTCTAGTATTCGGCACACAGTATTTATATTCTAAATGTGGCTAGTTGACCCTGGATAGACTACGCCTGTTGCTCAATATTCGACCACATTTCACTAACTTTGAATGTTATATTTCGTTAAACAGTATTACTCGAATTGTCGTGAATTGTCGCTGACTCGAGCGGGAGGGACTCCGACGGCGGCAACGCACTTGTGTCTTTTGATTTGCAGGTGTCCATGGGCGGCGGTAGTTGCTTACCGTCAGGTGACCCGTCTGCTCGTTTGCCACCTTATACCATAAAAAAAGACAGTAGCATTCAGATTCTTAAAGTAATTTTCACATAATTTAAATAGAAAAAAACATTTGATTTGATAAAAAAAAAACTATCGACATCATTAGAACTCCCCAATAGCTATTAAATAAAACAATAGTTAAGGAAATCAATTGACAAACATAGCAGAAGTTTTAGTTTTTAACCAAATTTAGAAAAATAAGAAGGTTTTCTCTTCAGGTATTTTTTTTTATGTTTTTCACTTCGGGATTTTGTCATTATGAACCTATTTGTATTTTTTTTTAATTGGGTAGTTTATATTTCAAGTGTAGTCCCATTCAAATTTGATATACAAAAACCCTACACAATGAAAAAATTCAACACTGAAGAATACTGTTTGTGTAGGAGGCATCGAAGTTGTACCGACTTCAATGCCGCCTAATTTTTGAAAACTAAGTGTAACTATGTCACTTTTTATTGATACTACCGTAATGGAAATTAATATTTTTTATTTGTATTGTTCACTTTATTTAATAGTGGCAATAATCTACTAGATAAGGGAACACTAGGCCTATGTGTGCCTTGCGTGCATTTTAGTGCATCGCCAAGTAATTTATGTAAACATTTCTATTATGTATGAATAGATGTCAACTAAAATCATATAAAAATGAAGTGTCATTTTTCAATCTGCGTTTAACTAAATTCAAATTATGTATTTTACAAATGTATTATGGTTGAAATGTATACAAAAATGAGCTTATTACGTTTACATTTTTTAGTTATAATTGTAATATTTTCAAAAAAAAATAATTAAGAATTTTATATGAAACTAGCTGACCCGCGCAACTTCGTCTGCGTCT